CGCCTAACCTCCTTTAGGAATCGAAAAATTCTAAGAGAATTAGAATTTAGAGAGAAAAAATTTCCGTTTCACCCAGCCGGGAATCGAACCCGGGTCTCCCAGATACGCGCCGGGCACTCTTACCGACTAAGCTACCGGGAACCACAGAAATTCACTCTCAAATTCACCTCAAACACCGCCTAACCTCCTTTAGGCNGGTGCTGCAACAACACAGGCACCCCTTCACGAATTTCTTCAAGGTTCTAACGTAAAAGGGTCTCATCCAGTTCCGTGGACTACAGAAGGAGAAGCTGCCTTCAAAGCCTCTAAGAAACAACTGCAAGACGCAACGCTGTTAGTGTACCCAGATACGTCACTACCGTGGGCTGTTTTTACCGACGCGTCCGAATTTGCTACCGGCGCCGTTCTTCAACAGCGCAGAGGTACTGTCTGGGAGCCGCTCGCCTTCTTCAGTAAGAAGCTTCAACCTTCCCTGAGGAAGCGATGCCCATACGACAGAGAGCTCCACGCAATTTATGAAGCAGTTCGTAAGTTCAGGCACATTTTTGAAGGTCGTCACGTGACCATTTATACTGATCATAAACCGCTGCTGCATGCTTTCAAACAAAATCCTGATAAAGCAAATCCTTGGCAGTTCCATCGCCTTGATTTTATCGGTCAGTTTTCAACAGATATTCAGCATGTCGCAGGTAAAGATAACGTTGTTGCCGACGCCTTATCGAGAATCGAAGCCATATCCATAGCAATCTCGACGGCCGAACTAGCACAGGCACAAGCAGCAGATGCCGAACTCCAAGAACGTCTGCAAGATCCGAATGGTGTCCTTCAACTACGACGTATTAACATGCCAGAGAGTCCAACTCCAATTTACTGTGACGTTAACGATCAGCTGATTTGTCCCTATGTACCATTACCGCTAAGAGAGTTTTTGACACTCTGCATAGCGTCAGTCATCCAGGGGCTAACGCATCAACTCAGCTGGTTGCTCAACGTTTCGTCTGGCCGAGTTTAAAGAAAGACTGTCGTCTTTGGACTCGTGCATGTCTCGCATGCCAGAAGAATAAAATTTCACGACACGTGGCATCGCCGATTCAAGACTTTCCCGGGGGAAGAACAAGACGCTTCGAACACATTCATGTCGACATCATCGGACCATATGTACCGTCCAGAGGTTACCGTTATTGCCTGACAATAATCGACAGATTTTCACGTTTCCCGGAAGCATTCCCGATTTCCGACATTACCACTGAGACTGTTGCCGGTGTGCTCTACGCAAACTGGATTTGTCGTTATGGCGTTCCGCTTCGGATCACGACAGATCAAGGGACA